AGAGCTCAGGCAATGACTTTTAATCTGCTACAATATTTATAAGCTGAGTTACAACGTCTTAAAAATAAAGATGGCAAGGAAATGGAAATGTTGGCAGGGCTTTCACCAGGGTGCTGCATGGGGTACAAACACTGCCGAACCCGGTGGTTCCGCTGAGGACTCGGATGCCAGGCATCACTCATGGCACTACGGAGCTCCGCGATTCCCAGCAAAGCCCGGGCAGGAGCTCAGAAATGCTGCTCTCATGAGGCAGGACCGAGAGTTGTTGGCACGGTGACCACACCCAGCAAGAATTTGTAGATGGAGAAACTTATGGTACTGAAAATTGCACCATGACCTAAGGCAGTGGCTCTGCTCCACAGGCGTATCTGATTATTGGACAGCCCCGATGTTCCACAAATAGCTCCCTGCTGAAATGCCGTTCTAGTTCACTGCTCGGCTCCACACAGGGGCACCGGGGACACCAAAGCAGTCTCAGAGGGCGTCCCCCCAGTGCTGATGTTTAGCTGAGGGAAGAGAGCTACAAGGTGAAGGGGAAACATGACAAGGAAACCACCCCATGCCTTTCCCAGCCTTTCCCCATGGTGGAAAGCCTCCTCCTTTGGTTGTCCTGGCAGCAGTGAGGGAGCAGGCACCTTTTGCAGCGCTCTTCCTCGGACTCACGGAACTAAAGCAGTGGCACTACCAAGTCCCTGCCACTAACATCCTCCTCATCCCTGGAGCAAACGATCTTCCCTTTCTACAGCAAGGAAATGTTTTATTTAGGGAACTGTTAAATGAGAAAAGTCTTGGGGACAAGACACTGAAAAACAGAGAGAGAACAGAAGCAACTACCAATTGATGGGGGAGGTTAACTCCCATCAGAGCAAAGGAAGTAGAGATCCATACGGCAGAGAGAGAGAGAGAATTTGTGGGCATCTCATCTTGGAAACACTGTGACTGGCACTTTACATGGGGCATGATGTTCAGATAGTGCTGTAAGGACAGATTGTTTCACGGGCTCAGGACTATCTATAATTGTTATCGCTAGGATCCTGGCAGCACACCCCCCAGTCAAGTGAGATCAGTGAGCATCAGGGAGGAAAGGTGTTGTAACCAATGACAAGATCAGAGCACGAGATAGGAGTGGGTGTAGCTGAAGTGTGATGATTCTTCCCCAAACCACAAGGGACTATAATTTCAATGATACACCACAGTTTAACGAGCAACAGAACCCTCTAGGCTGTCACCGTGTGTGTGTGAAAATATTCTACTATTTGTCATATTTCAATTTCATATTAATCTTGAATCATTCTCACATTCTCATAACTCAAAGGTACAACCTAGAATGAAGGGAGAAAGACTACACTGCCCAAGCGCTGCTCCCAGCAGCAGGGCTCATGCCATGAACTGTGCTGAAGTACATTGTAGATCTATTCACCAACATGGGAAGATCTTAAAACAAAGGGCAGTGATTTGTACAAAACCTGCAGAGCTCTTGCTCCCCCATGGGAAAGGTTAGGTCTGTGCACTGAGACCTGTTTGGGATCACTGCTGCATGTTTAATGCCACTCAGCATTCACACACAGTTGCACGTTCAAAATCCTGTGCAGACATGAGCTGATAAATCCTCAGAACTCTCTGGCAAAACGTTCTATTTTCAAGCACTTGCTCAGTTCAGAGTCCAGTGAAGAATAAGTGCTATGTCTGAATAAAAGATTATGGCAGTGTTTTCACTTGCCAGAATGATTCAGGGATATGCACAGGAGGCTGTGAAGCATGCTCAGTTGTGGGGGTTCCTTTAAGTGGCAAGAACACAGTAGCTAATTGGAAGCAGCTTTAACTCTTTCATGAGCTGCTTCAGACCACAGTGTTCAATAGTCCTGTCCAGATAGAAGAATGTGCTTTGATTATTCAGGTAATCAAAGGAAACTAACCAGAATTCACAAGCATAAACAGGAAAACATGAAAAAGCCTGCTTATCAGAAGCTGTCAGCAGAGCACCATATTTAAAAAAGGCTCTACATGTAAGAGGAAAAAATCCCAACCTATGTTAAGTAAATATGGAAAGTAAAAAAACCAAACCAAAGGAAACAAACAGAAAAACCCCAATCCCACTGAATCCCAGGGGTTTTTTACAGAGGTGCTGAATCTTTGCAGCCTACAAATAATATCAGAATTTAGATGTCCAGCATTTGTGGAACCACCTCGAAGGTACTTCATGCCGGGCATACACAATTAAGGACTCAGCATCAGCAGCCACATTAAAAAAATAAGCCCATATCTGTTTTAACAAATGAATTTTTACTGCTCTTCAAACTTTACCAAAGTGGATTAGTTTGACTTAGAACTGGATTAAATCCCACTGAAAATGATTGATCTGAAACAATGACCTTTCACTGTAAAACATAACATGAAAGACTTTGGGGATAAGACTAATGAAGCACAGAGATAAAACAAAATGCCTTTGCCAACATTTTCAAAAGTGGCCTCTTATTCTGGGTGCCCTACTTGAGTCACTAAGTGCTCATTTCCTCTGAAAATGAGGCCCCAAGCAAGTTGAGCCTTCAGAACAGAGGCATCCAGGCATCTAGAACAAGAGATTCTAGCAGCAGTGCTGGAAAATATGGATTCTTGCCTATTGGGAAAGTCTCCTCACCTCAGGGACAGCTCAGTAACAGAACTTCTGAAAGTGCTCCTAGATTCCCATTCCCTTTCTGTGATCCATTAACACATATAAGTCCTGTTCTTTGGGCCCTTATATGCATTTTAAGATCAAAATGGCTTTGTTTTTCCTATCTAGGGCAAGCTCCTTCCTTTGATAGGCCATGCCATGTTGAGGAGGAGGAATGACAACAGCAGGTACAGCACATTCAGCTCAGGGCAGGTCAGCCACGTGCTCGGAGTGCTTCTAATTACAGCTCCAAGGAAGAACAACATGAACACGTCCAGAGCTTCCTACATATGGCAGGATATGGAAACCAGAACATGACGGGGATGCAAAACACACCTAGGAAACGAGAATGAGGTAAGGCACAAACCGAACAATTCAGATGCTAGCCTAATGTGAATACAATATAAAGAACTCCACTGCACTGCCTTTCAAAGACTAACTCCATCCTGCAGCACAGGCAGAGAAGGCCAAATGCAAAGGATCGCTGGCACTCAGCAGAGATTCCCTTGGTCTCTTGCTCTGCTGCATGGCTGTGCATCCCACCTGCTCCAGCTCACGGGTGGGGAAGCAGCAGCCTACCTCCAAAAACTGCCCAGCAACCTGTAACTCAGTGTGCCCATGTCCTCTGAGATCATCCACAGGCAGAGCTTGCAAATTCTTGTCCAAATGCAAATAGCTCCTCAAAAGTGTTTTGTGCAGATTTGATACCCAGGTGGCACGGGGCAAAGATGCTAGTGTGGGCCAGAATATACTGTACTGCAGCCACTTGACTTCACATCTCTTGAAGAGAAATACTTTTAATTTGCTGGATTTCACATATCAAGCTTTGAATCATCTAACATAAATTTCTAGAAAAGTAATAAGTTATTTCATCTGGGAAATGACCTAGAAAATTCAATTGTCCTCCAGAGAACAACCGTGCCAAATTTGGAGATGAAATTCATTAAGTGAAGTGTAAGAGAAAAAGCTTTAATTGTGCTTTAGCTGCAAAGCCTTCTTCAGATTTAAGTTTGGAAGAGAGACTTGTTGTTCTAGCACTCCTTAGAAATTCTGGTGGATTTTTTTTTTTTAAATTAAAAAGTCAAAACAACTGTGTTCTTGAACTATTAAAGAAACTTACAAGGTCTTAAGACACTGGTATTGCCAACACAGTAGAGCAAAGGTCAGTTATCTCCAAAACCAAAATACCTGCATTCCCTAGCATGGGTTGTCTTCTTAGAAAATAATCTCTGTCATTTTGAATGGCAGGTACCTAAAACTTCTATACAGGTGGAGCAGTGTTAATCTAATCTTTATCATCTTCCCCACAAGGAACCACACTAAGTATTTGAAAGGAACTGAAAAGATCTCATTTTAAGAGAGGCATCATTCCTCTTTACTCCAATACTTCAATAGCAGGGAAACGTAACCGCCCTGGCTTTCATCCACATGTATTGCATACCATTGACTAGCTAAATCATAGTAACCGTAGTGCCATGTCATATCATTAGGGGTGAGAAATAAAGTACCTGATTTGGGATTTCACACAAAAATCTATCACGATCCAGCGTGAATTTTGCTACCGGGCTGCAGCTTCTGCATGAAAGCCGTTTGGCGAGCTGGCGCGTGACAGGGTCGTGTTTTCTCTCCACCACAGGCCGCAGAGGAGAGGCGGCTCTTGCCCACCGCAGCACAAACGCCTGGTAAATGGATTTAAGGCGGCTTGGCGAGGATGGCGGTACCTTTCGCCTACCGGCAGCAGCACCGGGTGTAGCCACCTCCTGCGCCAGAAGCATTATTTTCCCCCCTCTCCGGCGGAGCCCCGAGGCCCCCTCAGCCAAGGCGGCCCCGCTCGCTGCGCCCCTCACGAGCCGCCAACGGCCGCCGCGCGCCCCCTCAGGCGCCGCGCGCCCCGCTCCCCTGTTGCTATGGCTCGGCGGGAGGCGGCAGCCAATCAGAAGGCGGCAGGATATACTTGTCCCTGTTGCTACCGGCGCGGCGGAGCGGCGGACCAATGGGGAGGAAGCGGCAAGGCGGCGCGCGGCCGCGTCCGACACAAGCGGGAGCGGGTCCGCCGGGAGCGGCCTAGCGCGGCCCTCAGGGGGGTCTGGGACTCGCCCGAGGCCCCGTTGCTGAAGGGAATAAACGTGAGCGGGGCATAACCCGTCCCAAACACCACTGTTCTCAACACACCACCTCCCCCAAAAAGAAAATAGCCCTCAGAGTGAGATCCGCCTTGGCCATCCAGGTCTTGACACACTAGTGTAATACAGTATTTAATTATGTATTAAAATCAGTGTATGTATGTGAGTAATCACACCCTTACCTTGAAAAATGAACCCTGGAGAAAGTAATTCATAACCTTTATTTGCTAACTTTATTACAAAACATAGTGGAGGCATCGACTTTGTGTATCTGGGGGCTGGACTTCTGGCAAAGATTACCCTTTTAGCAATACAGATTTAAAAAATAGCAGTAATACTTAGGGGAAAATACCTAAAAGGCTGCCCAACGACTTGCAGCGTTAGTTTTAAACCTGCATTAAGGCTCTGCTTTGCCGCCTGTGCCCAGACACTCCCAGGCACAATTCTGCTCTTCAGTCTCCCATGAGAGGGCCCAGGGCCGGGGTCCCTGAGGGGCTGGATGAGGGGACAAGGGGATGAAGGACCATGTGAGGTGGTCCCGGGCTGGGTTAAGTCAGGAGAAGACGGGGCAAAAGGAAGGGAGCTACTGGGGTACAGCTTACCCCGCCGATTTGGGGAACCTCCAGCCAGACACAGCATTAGCCCCATAATTAATACCCTGTGTAGGAAATGGAGCCTGCACGGCTCAGGCTGCTTCGCCAGGCGCTCGTCCAAAGGGGCTGTGCTCGCCGGCTGCTCTCAGACTGATGCAGACCCCTGACAGGTGACACAATTCCCTGGCAGTTTCCATCCACCCAGATCTGGGGACTGAAAATGGATCAAGGGGGTTCAGCAGCTCCCACCTCCTCCACTCATCCTTCTTTCCTGGGCAACATCAGTAGCAGGTAGCATTAAATACCCACAAGACTGGTATCTCCTCCTCCAATCCTGCAAGAACATAGACTCGAGCACTGAAAATTCTGCCTTGCTCCAGTTTGTCTCATCTGTGGCAGTATGGAACACTCTGGAAGTTACACCCAGCAGTACAATAGAAATGCAGGGACGAGAAATAGCAATATTTTACCAGCACTTGGGTGAGACCTTATTTTCCAGGCCCCATAAAAAGTTATCCAACATCCACTGCTGAGCAGTGTAACTAAATTTTACTTTTTTCAAGTACAGGAGCTTCATTTACCTTCATGATCTAATGAAGGACTTGGATCTGACCGGTGCTATGGGTGGAAATACGTAACTGCCACAGAACTAGTGACTTGATATTTTTAGCATCCACACTGCAGCTTCAGACAGCTCCAGTAAAAACCTACAATTCACAATGCACCTTTGATTTCCTCTATCCTTTGCAAGATTCTTAATGAAACTGTTACTAAAACAAACTTTGTAACTATTAGAAAAAGCCCTCATTCTTCTGCCTCACTCTCCATTAATCTCCATGCCAAACCCCTCATCTTAAAAAAAAAAAAAAAAATATATATAGAAAAAGAACACAGGAAAGGATGGGGTGTTTCCTGGGGAAGTGCAGGCCACATGGAGCATCTCTGCAGGCAGGTCACATCCGTCCCCCAGCTGAGAATTCGAAGAGCAGCCACGCTGCCCAGAACGTGTCGTTGGCTAACGGGTCACCAACCGGATCCCCCAGGACCTGAAAGACACAGGAAGGAATCAAAGATTCACCACATCCCATCCGTACTGATGCAGCTGCTCACGGTAGAAGAGGTCCTTTGGGCAGAGATTGAGGAGCACGAGGCTGCGTGACGGGAGGGAATGCCAGCGCCGAGGGCTGGTTGCAGGAAAGGACAGAGTCCTTGTTCCTCTCTGTGCTCAGGTAGAGTAATCCATCTGTACAGCACGTGGGTGTAAAAGCAACAACCACAATCAGTGCACAATTCAACACTTAGTAATTCAGAGAAGAGCAATTACTTTCCCTTTGCCCAAGGCACTGGCTCCTATAAAAGCAAGTAAATGACAGAGGGTAAGTCCAGGAGAAAATAATTAAGAAGGGAGTGATCACCTGAACAAGGAAACTCTGGTCAGGAAGGGAAAAAAAATATCTCCAAAATGAATTAAATTTGTTTGCTTGCTTGCTTTTGTTTTGTTCTCATTTTGTCTCTGACAGGATGTATGACCTACAAAAAGCAAACTGAAAGTGATGTATGGACTAAAGGAAGTGTACCTCTGCGCCCCTGTGGTTCAGGCATAGGAACCAAACATCTGCACATCCCTGCAATAAGCCCAGGGCAAACTGATTCAGCAAGAAACAGAATGCCCAGGAAGTCTGTAGAATGCTGTAAAATGATTTACCCATTCAAGCTCTTCCTTTTCCTACAGAACACACTGAAACATGCAAAAATTGCTTTTCTGAGTTCCTGAACTGAGCAATTGCTACACAGATCTGAAGACGTCCCCTTTTGACATCTTCAGGCACCACACGGTACCCCGCTCCCCAGCCCACGCTGCACCAAGTGTCATGTTTCCACACCATTGCAAAATCAGTGCAATAATGCAAAATAGCAGGATGAAAACTCCAGCTTTGGAGACTGCATGCTCTGGAAATCTTAGAAAAGGTTCATTCATTATTAATGCCCAAAAGCTTTCCTACTCGTCTGGCTCACATTATGGCTGGTAAAAAGGCCACTTTCCAAGATACAGATCTTTATATTGATGCTTTCAAAGGCTCAAAAGAGGTTCTGTTACTGCCCTCAGAGCTGCAGCTGCTTCCTATAACGAGGCCAGCAGATATGGCCTCCTGCTTTTCAAAATCTCTTTTAAAAAGGCTTTCTCCAGCAGCTTACACTGCAAGAGAAACAGAAATGGATGCTAACTGACTGGCAGACCAACCAGCCAAAAAAATAGGTCAAGGTACCTTTTAGATAGGGCTTTCTTGGGTCCTATTTTTCAGTAACATTTAACTCACAGATGTGTTCTCACCCCCTTGAACCACCAGATTTCTAACATCTATTCTCTAGTGCCTTAAAATCACTGTAAGAAAGCACGCAGACTGCATCCAGATCACGGAAGTAACTTCTTTTATCATCTTCTGTAACACTGCTCTATAGATGGCTATCAGCCATCTTGAACAGTGCAAAATCCCTTTTCCTCAGCAATATCACAGGCTTGGAAATGACAGATGTTCAGAGGTCCAAGAGCAGAGTCAAATTCTGCAGGAGCCCTCAGAGGGGAGGACCCTGGAGCAGCCACCTTGTGCCAGCTGCTTTCCACACTGCCAGGAGAACCCTCCATTGCTCAAAGTGTAAATGACACTCTGGATCTGCACAGGTTGCTGTGGCCATCGTTTCAACGACACGTTTACTAAAATCAGGGTCTGATGAGCAATCCAAGTGGAAAAAACAACAAAACCACCTCTCCTTCTAGCATCTGCCAGATGCTGCCCAGGGAATGCCCTGCTCGTTCTGAGCTGGATTCCAAAAGGTATGCTTAGATCAGACAGGTCCCATGCTAAACATGATGTGAAAGGTCACATCTCCTGTGTGAGAGCCACAGCTGGACAGTGTGCACAGGGCTAAGCTCCTATCTCTGAACATCAGGTGTGTTCTCTTACCTGGCTTTGTCCCAGGGCCTGGCCTTCTTCCATGCAGGGTGCAGGAGCAGGTGGGCACTGAGGCTTGCCAAGCACAGCCAGAGAGGAACTGCAGAAAACAGGATACACAACTGCATTTTATTTATGCTCTACTCGCCACTTGCTGTAACGTTTTGCAGCAGGACAAGAGGGGGAAGACTATCAATTCAATAGAGTTCCGTTGTCTACAAACCTGCCCCATTTCTCCAAATTGTTACGGCCTGAAAATACAGATTCTGCACTGGGAGGATGAGCCTGACCAGAAGCAATATATGGGAATGACATCTTGATTTGCAGCTTTCCTTTTGCCCCCAGAACACTGGCCAGAAACAAGATGTCTACCAAAACATGACTTTCCTGGAACGTATTTTAAAAACACAGATCTTAAGAGTCAAAACACACGAACACGTGGCTTTAGACATAGCCACAACATTGGCTACGATTCTGCTACAGCTTTTCAAGGCCACCAGTCAGAGCCTGGGGACATGGCTTCCCCATCCACACCTCCCTCGGGGGCTCCACCAACATCTCAAAGAGGTTGCAGTCTCCAGGCACTGGGTCAAGGAGGAGACACTGGGTACATGACGATGGGATGTTCTCTCCCTTCATCACCAGCTCAAAGCTATCTGTACTCCAACACCACCCCCAGGGATAGCCCAGGGTATGAGTGGCAGTACAGGCCCGGACCAAAGGTGCCAACTAATACAGCGTAGGAAAAAAGTAGAAGGAACAGGGCAAGTGTCAAGTTGCCCTTCCTTGGAATGCCCCCAGGTTCCAGCAATCAGTCTTGGGGCTCGTCTGCTTGAGGCTGCATTCAGGCAATTACATTCACTAATGACGAATGGACTCGGCCCCTTTCCCCCCCACAAGAATGTGTCTCATCCTTTTTAATAGCCCACTTACACTGACATGCACAATGCCCTTAGCAACAAATTCTGAGATTTAATTAGGCAGCATGCCAAATGGCAGCCTCCTTTTGTGCGTTTTGAAACTTGCTGCCTGCCAGTGTCGGGGTGCTGGGTTATCCAGAGGGGAGAGCCTGGCAGCAGGAGGATTCCTAGCACTCTGAGCCGAAATCCCAAAAATGCAGGCAGAAGCAGTAAGCTGCAGTGAACATCTCAGCATCGAGATGTTTTCTAAATCAATACACTGGCTCATAAATGCAGGCTGTCTTGCTCCAGAGAGTTCAGTGTGCTTTTCTGTTTGAAATGTGAAGCACGAGAGAGTTCTATTCTGCAGGAACCATTAGCTGGGCTACCTTCCACCTGCCCCAGCTCGAGGAGTGAAGAGGATATGACACCACTATCTGTAAAGACGAGCATCTGTTCGGTGTCCCACAGGGACTTCCAGTTTGCGGGCTGGATCAAACTCTGCTGTCAGGCAGCAGGAGCAGATGGAGACAGTCAGCTTCCAGCCCGGCTCCCCCTCACACTCCCACCTCACAGCCCTGTAGATCATCAGAGGTTTGGATACTGCCCAAGTGCGTAGGACCGACCGTACAAAGCCCATGAAAGAAATCAACAGGAATTGTTCTAATAAGCTTTCAGGCCAAGTCCTTTCTAGGTGAGCACCTTTAAAAATGAGACAAGCAGATTAAAGGTCCTTTGGCTGACGTGCAGCTCTACCCCTGCACTTAGGGAGCAGTGAGAGCCACTAAGTCCACTCCAGGTGGGTGACCCTGGATAAATAATTTCCTTCTCTGTGCTCTACTCGTATCTGTAAAGCAGGGATAACTGCCCTGTCTTTCCAGGATAGCAACACTCAATTGCCTCACAGTTTAAGCTGTTGACTCCTTTGTGAGTCCTCAGATGAGTGATGCTCATTGCAACATTATTGCTAAAGATGACTCTGGTGACACAATACCTCTCTCTAATCCACTAACTCTATTAGAGGGCTCTGCCTGATAACAAAGGTGGTCCCCGTGCACTGCCGCTCGCTGAGCGGTGATCTTACCCACGCGAGGTCTCCTGGCTCTCTAGAGAGAAACTGCACAAAGGCCAAGATGAAATGTCAGCCTGAGCATCCCCCATTTCCAAAGAGATTGCTGTTCCATAGCATTCATGGCACTTTGGGGAGTTCAAGGTTTTGGGGAGAGCTGGACCAGGCCACTAAAGAGGGTTCAAATAACCATATCCTCACCAGAAGGTGTCAACGAAGCCGGGAGTCCTGTCCCTGCCAGGAATATGATAAAGGGTGTGTGGATTCCTGGCACAACAGACATACCCAACAAGGAGACATTCACCATAGATTTCTTGTACTGGCGGAACATATTTTAAAAATAAACATGAGCTCACTCTAGAGTCAGAACATGCAATTTTAAATCCAGCCAAAATATTGCCAGCAAGCCTCACTGAGCCTTCACCATCTTCAGCCACTGTTTAAAACTGCCGATCCCAGCACAGCCTGCGGTGGGTTTACAGTGCCCAGCCCCGGGCTCCCTCCAGCAATTCAGAGCAAGGAGCCTGACACGGATGTGAACAGGCACAGGCACCGTGCCAGCTGGGAAACAGGGGTAAAAGGCAGAAATGTTTTTAGCATGGATCTGGGAAGCAAAAAACCACCCATCTTTATCTCCCGTGAATCAGTGCCTTCCCTTGTTGCCTGACAAGCCACAAAGTCACCCCGTGCCTCTGCTTCCTCTTCTTTAAAGTGGGAATAAAACTGCTTCTACCTCCCTCTTTGACACGTTACTGACAGGGTCAGGCTAGCACAAATGCTGGGCAGCGTCAAGCAGAAGGGTTATGAGATGGGGCTACTGCTCCTGCTCTGTCTTGCAGATCAGTAAATCAAAGGAACCTCATCATGTCTGTTTGGCAGTGTTTATTTTTATGTAACATTATGGAAGTTGTGTAACATATGGAAGATGGCACAGATTTTTGTTGTTTTGCATTCTGTGAATTTATCTCAAGTCCCAGAGAAAACCTGCAGCCTGAAACGCTTGTTACAGGTGGAAAACAGAAAGAGAGAACAGTGCCTGTCTTTCTGTCTTCCAATTTGGAAAGCCTCCACTATGGAAGAATCTTGTCATGAGGTTATGAAGCTACAAAAACTATTTTAGGATTAAGTATGGGCCCTACCAACCCAGCCCACAGAATCAGCTCTGACTGCATCAGCAGAGGTTATAATATTCTGCCAAAAAGAAAAACAGACAAATAACTTATAAGTTAAAACTGCTTTAAAGAGAGAGGTTCATATCTTTCCTGATTAGGCTGGTCCCAAACTCCTTTGTGCTACACTGTAAAGACACAGACATTTGCACAGCATTTCCCACTTCCAGTGCACAGATATAAATATCTGCAGAATGCCATGGACACAAGGAGAGAGTCAGGCCCCTGGCACGAGGTGCATCACCACATTCTTTTGCAACCCTCTTCAACAAGGGGACTGGGACAAGGCTAGACCCACAGCATCATTGTTACTCCTGCCTTAAAGAAGCCCTGTGTTTTCTGCCCCTTTACCTGTGGGGAAGAATAGATTCCAGGGTCCCTAGCTGTCCTTCTCTAAGGATGAAGCTTTCAATCTCTAAATCTGACTGCTGAATGAGTCTTCCTGAACTGGCCTCAACACAGCCACCTTGAGGGACTCTGCTCAAGGGAGCTCTGACACCTGCTGAAATAAATGCTTGTATTAAAGACAATTACAGATAATGTGACCCCAACCTCTGACCCAGCTATTCCTCCACTCCTTGCTCCACATTGGCCAGAGGCTGGGTGAGTGGCAGTCACAGCACTTTCTGTTCTGTGGACCTCCAGCAAAAGCAGGTGGACATCACTTCTGTATCATATCAAGGCTATTCTGAAGAACAGGGAGAAGAAAAGAGATGGTAGGAAAGCTGAACAAGACTGGACAGGAAGGAAAGAGCAGGAGAGAGAAAGAATAGCAGGAAGGAGAAAGGAAAGTAAGAATGTGTTGCTGAAGACAAGCAGAGTTAAGAAGTTCCCAGCCTCTGCTCAGAAGAATGACAGGCATTAAAAACCCCAGAAGCTTGCAAACTGACAAGCTGAGAGACAATACCTGAAGGGATTCTTCCAATGGAAATGTCACAAAGCATCCAATTTGCTGGAAATGTACTATCTTATGGAAGCATTTACAGTTTAAGCAAAGGAGTAGGTAAGAATGTAAATTTAACACCTTTAAATCAACAGGTTTTCTCACTGAGCTACTATGGGAGCAGAATTCCAGAGCTCAAGATAAGCCCTGCTGCCATTTGTCATGACAACGGAAAGCCACGTAAGTGAGCTGGAGTGTTTACAGCAAAGACAAAAAACAAAAAAAAAGCTTAAAAACTCTTAAGGTCAACAACGAGCTGGAGTGTTTACAGCAAAGAGGAAAAAACCAAAAAAGCTTAAAAACTCTTAAGGTCAACAATCCAGGTGCAGTTTTACTAACCTTCTATACTTGGAGTCCACGTGGAGCCAGAGACTCCTCTGGTGCTGCAAGGGGGCTGCCAGATGGGCAGCCATTCACCTGGGAAGGCGAGGGACCCGCAAGGGCAGAGGACAAAGTGATCCAGCTGGGGGCTGGTGTCAGTGCTGCTCCCGGCTGCTCTGGGCTGCAGGACAGTGGAGCTAAAGCAGGTTCCTGGCTCCAGCACAGCCTCGGTGCAAAAAGGGACAGGTTGTTCCATGTTGTGAGTGGTCAACCAAGCCTCGCTCGTCATCGCTTCATAGAGCTCGCTGCTCTGCACACAGCTGTAACGATGGAGCAAAGACATCAGCCAGACACAACGCTTTGCAAAGAGGGGCACCCCCCCAGCTAAACCTTTGAATCCTGCCCTTGACAGCTGGGAGATTAACTGCTGGGTGCTCTGCCTGCCTGATGCTGGGCATGGACCATTCCCATCTATGGACTCAAGACTCCTAAGTCAAGTCCCCCTGGGAACTGACGTGAAAGTCACTTCCATGAACAAGCTTCAAGGCTGCTTCACCTCTGAACTCTCCCTGTAAAGACTTTTTCATACATCACCTGGATTCCAGCATCTTTAAATATGTTCCTTCAGGAGGCTTATCCAGATCTGCAGCTGACTGCTCCCACCCTGGGTCACAGGGCATGAAGGTTATCTCCATTTGCTCAGAGCCGGTGCCTACACAAGATCCATCTGAAAGGTGCAGGCCGGGCAGGTGAAGGAGCACTAATAGTTACTCCAAAAAGCAATGAAACAAGTCTAATTTGCCAAATGCACCAAGACCCTCTTATTCCCCATGACTGAAGTTTGGTCAAGATTCTGTGAAAGGGCATGGAAACACTGGTTTTACTGGAGCACTGCCCTGATCCCAGAATCTGAGAGCTAGAACCTGCTGCCTCCCATGTATTTGCTTTTATTTGGTGCCCCTTCCCAGATGGGCATCTCTTTTCACCTGTCCTTGCACAGGCCTTATCAATGTTTGCTCTTTCTACAGAGTGACAGCCTCCAGCCAAACAATGAGGGGCTCCACTGAAATAGAGTCCTCCAGTGTCCACTTGATCCATCAGCAAATAGGTGATGTTGTGGTGGAGTATCTTTCCCTTCCTGAGGGACATTTTAAATTGTTTTTCAGCTTTCTGGACCATATCTTAAGCCCATTAGGAAGAGACAAACCTGCAGTTTGTGGAGTGTAGGATTCTTTATCCTGCTGCTCCTTCCTGTGGTAAATCAAAGCCCTCTCAGGACACGAGCTGTGGAGCTTTTCCTTCAGAGAGAGGCAGGATTTTTGACGTCGTCGATAATTTGCAAACCAATTATAGACCTGAGTTGGCTGCAGGTTCGTGTCCCGAGCCAATCCCTCCTGCAAACCCACACGTAGGGAGAGATCAAGGGAAAAAGAATAAGCCACATCCAAATAATCAAGCTCTTCCCTTCAGTTCCAAAAGCAGCCCAGGAGGAACTTTCAAACCCAGGGACATTTATTCACTGGGTCTCCAATAAGTCTATGTGAATTCCATTGAGGAGACCAATTTATAAACTCAACAGAGTTGCTGGAAAACACGCATTCCACCCTGCTCCCCTACTCAATTTATTTTTGCCAAAGGAAACCATATACTGCTATTTTAGATTGCTATATTTAAATGTAAAACCTCACCAAAGCGTGCTCTTCCCACAGAATGACAGCTTCACATCACTAACATGACACGAATAGGATAAACACTAATGCATTTACCGCATTAAATAATTTTCACAAACTGCGAGCAATATAAACATCTGTATCACGTTCTCAGAAAAAAATCTGCTGTATTAGACTGTTAAATAATGAGATCACGTAAGTGGAGAATGTATTGGAAAATTCATGCACAAGTGATCACTGTATCCTGACCTTTCAGGACTTAATTGTGCAGCTTCATTATGCTCCCAATTCAGATTGGTTTTTTTAAATGAAAATTTAGAAGTTGTTGCCACTTTGTGAAAAAGGTAAGAAATAAACCATCTTTATGTTGCAGAACTATTCACCAGGGCGTCCTGCCTCACATGAGCAGGGTGTTGGAAAAATTAAGCACCACAGAGGCAGACTTTAAAGACTGATAATCAACAGGGATTGCTCAATTAATCCATGTGTCACTTTCATTACAAATCTGTCCCTGTCCAAATAAAGTAGATACACACATACATCAAGACAGGCTATTCTGTTTTCAAATTCTGTGAATTTTACGTGATAAGTCAGTACAAAATATATTCTGGTGAGCAAACTGCAATTCTATACAGGCTACAATGCAGTCAATCACAACTATCACTGTAATATAGCTCTTCTGAGTGGTGGCTGTCTCACTGCCTATGCACAGTCACGACAAAATTAGAACTGTTAAAAACCTAGTGAGGAACTGATTTCCCCAATCTTTTTAATCAAAGCAAGTAAAATTACTTAGCAGGAACTTGATATTTTTTTAAGGAAACCTTTAGGGAAAGGTCAAATATTGGGAATCCCAGCCAGCCCAGGGCTTCTGAAAACAAGGATTTAGAATAAATCCATTTAGAGACCCCTGCTTGCAGAGTTCTGCTTTTGTGTGACAAGGAGCCTTGACTGGAAGTAGCATGTCCCTACCCGCTGTTCCTTGCTTGGATTTGTTGTCACCTCAGCAGCAAACCTGTGCAGCTGCTGCCGTACTTCATCTGGATAGTTTCGATTCTTCAGACCTTCGGGACAAAGGGACATAGGTGGAGGATTCCTGTATGCAGGAGAAAACAGGATTAAAAAGGATCCAACAAGAGTCATTCACATTCATGGGAGTTTTCTCACATTGCCACAAGAGGTGAAAACGCCAAGAAAAACCTAGCTCCAAGAAGGAGCCACCTTGAGATGCAAAAACAACCCCTGCATCTCTACCTGCAGCATCTGCTAACTACAGGTAAAGAAAAAAAATCGTGGTTCTCCCACACCGTGGTACCTCTTCCTGCAACGGAACTTCTGCAGCGGTGTCAGAAAATCCGTGTGGTGTTTCTCCATAACCCTCTGGTAGTGAATCTCGTGCCAAAGTTGCACCAGCTCCTCCTTCTCTTCTGCCTTGCAATGCTAAAACAAAATAGTAGGTAAGGAAACCCTTTCCAGGTAGTCAGTCAGGCTTCCTAGAAGGGAGAAAACCCTCAGTGACTAGAAACTTACTCAGAAATCCCTACTGGTTTGACAAAGCTGGTAGCATTACCCAAGCACATGGCCTGCTGTACATTCCCCACTGTACACAGGGAGGTGCCTGCCTAATTCCTCCTTTTCCCCTGGAGAAAAGGGCTTTATTACTAGATCTAGAGGCCAAAATCCCTCACCCTGAGTGGTGCCATCCAGCCTTCTTCAAATCTTCCCATCTGGCAAGCCCTCTATACTCAGCCTTCCCAAGGCTTTTACGTCCTGAGCCCTAAGTTTGTGAAAAACTCCAAGAACCACCACACTAGAGAACAAAAATCCTGCTTTCACAAACTACAACCAACCCCACAATCACCCAATTACCTTCTTCCCCCTGGCTGATTAATAGTAACTGCCTGTAGCAAAGCCTTTGTCCTGTGTTTCAGGGTCAACCACCGGCACAGGGATCACCTTCCCCTGCCGCTCGCCAGCTGGAAGCGCTCCAGGTGCTGCAGTTTGGGTACCTCTGCACTAAGGGCTCTACTATTTCTCCTACTACTGAAGAAACAAAGGACACATCCCTACCTCCAGGAGCCTGCAGGCTGTGTCGTGCTGCCTGTTACGGATGTGAACGAACACGCAAGCTCGCACCACGTGGATGTTGGTGAGAAAATACATCTTGTGTTTGCATCCCATCACGGCCCCGACCAGCTTCTCCAGACTTGGAGCCGAACTCTGGAGCTCCTGGCAAAGCTGTCCTGCGAGCTCCAGCAGCCTGGCGGGTGGGGGATCCTTGTTTTTATTCCTGTTTAACATGGCCATGAACCGCTTCATCCTTACGTCCTGTCGGAAGCCTTTTCTATGCAATGCACAAAGTTGTGGTCAGATAAAAACTATTATCTCCTATTTTTAGCTTCTCCAGTATGCTTTTTTTTTTTTTTTTTAAGGAAAAAAATTCACTGTGCAGTTAAAAGCAGCCCAACTTAAAATAAAACTAGGCCTAAAGCAGCCCTGAAAGGCTAAAACCACCCCAGGTTTGCAGTTGAGAAAAGCAGAGCTCAGAAAGACTCATTAAAACTTGCCCCAAAAGTAGAAGGGTGAAGGAGGAGGCCAAAGCAGGAGGGCTGCTGCGGGGAACCGCACACCGGGCTGGTCCCCTTCGTCCCCACAGCTGCCTGGGTGCCCCCGCACCCAGCTCAGCACAGGAAGCTTTACATCCACAGCTTATAGGTTAAAACTACCAGAACACAAACTTGATGATCTTTAAGGTCCTTTCCAATTCAGCCTTCCCAAGGCTTTTACGTCCTGAGCCCTAAGTTTGTGAAAAACTCCAAGAACCACCACACTAGAGAACAAAAATCCTGCTTTCACAAACTACAACCAACCCCACAATCACCCAATTACCTTCTTCCCCCTGGCTGATTAATAGTAACTGCCTGTAGCAAAGCCTTTGTCCTGTGTTTCAGGGTCAACCACCGGCACAGGGATCACCTTCCCCTGCCGCTCGCCAGCTGGAAGCGCTCCACGTGCTGCAGTTTGGGTACCTCTGCACTAAGGGCTCTACTACTTCTCCTACTACTGAAGAAACAAAGGACACATCCCTACCTCCAGGAGCCTGCAGGCTGTGTCGTGCTGCCTGTTACGGATGTGAACGAACACGCAAGCTCGCACCACGTGGATGTTGGTGAGAAAATACATCTTGTGTTTGCATCCCATCACGGCCCCGACCAGCTTCTCCAGACTTGGAGCCGAGCTCTGGAGCTCCTGGCAAAGCTGTCCTGCAAGCTCCAGCAGCCTGGCGGGTGGGGGATCCTTGTTTTTATTCCTGTTTAACATGGCCATGAACCGCTTCATCCTTACGTCCTGTCGGAAGCCTTTTCTATGCAATGCACAAAGTTGTGGTCAGATAAAAACTATTATCTCCTATTTTTAGCTTCTCCAGTATGCTTTTTTTTTTTTTTCTTAAGGAAATAAATTCACTGTGCAGTTAAAAGCAGCCCAACTTAAAATAAAACTAGGCCTAAAGCAGCCCTGAAAGGCTAAAACCACCCCAGGTTTGCAGTTGAGAAAAGCAGAGCTCAGAAAGACTCATTAAAACTTGCCCCAAAAGCGGGAGGGTGAAGGAGGAGCCAAAGCAGGAGGGCTGCTGCGGGGAACCGCACACCGGGCTGGTCCCCATCATCCCCACAGCTGGGGACACTGGTGGGGGGCTGGCACACACACGTGTCCCCAGGCCCTCTGCTCCCACTCACCTGGGTGCCCCCGCACCCAGCTCAGCACAGGAAGCTTTACATCCACAGCTTATAGGTTAAAACTACCAGAACACAAACTTGATGATCTTTAAGGTCCTTTCCAATTCTACCCATTCCATAGAGACATCCAGGTGAAATTAATGAGGTTTTTTTCTCCAAAATGGCGTGGGACAAGCCAGGGGCAGCTGGTGGTCACAACAAAGTGTAACTCAAACCCGCCGCAGGGCAGCGCAGACGGTCCCGCAACCTCACCCGTGTCCGCAGGCTCCCGCGGGGGAAGGGGCAGGTTTGGGGCGCTGGAAGCGATGCGGGGCCGCGGGTGCGGGGTTACGGCCGGCCCCCAGGTCCGGGGCTGTCCCTGCTCCCCGCCCCCGCCCCGCCGGGACAAAGCGGCTGCCACTCGGGGAGTACAGTCCTGCAGAAGAGGCAGCAGCCAGCCCGACCCACAGCAGAGAGAGCTGTTTTAGGTATTAACGGGGATCAGGCACACGTGGGTAATTCTGACACACTTAAACCAACTGAGGGAAGAGGCAGCCCAGCTCAACCCCCCCACACCCCAAAAGCGGGAGGGTGAAGGAGGAGCCAAAGCAGGAGGGCTGCTGCGGGGAACCGCACACCGGGCTGGTCCCCATCATCCCCACAGCTGGGGACACTGGTGGGGGGCTGGCACACACACGTGTCCCCAGGCCCTCTGCTCCCACTCAGCCCGGGTGCCCCCACACCCAGCTCAGCACAGGAAGCTTCACATCCACAGCTTATAGGTTAAAGCTACCAGAACGTGAACTTGATGATCTTTAAGGTCTTTTCCAATTCTACCCATTCTATGGAGACAGCCAGGTGAAATTAATGAGGTTTTTTTCTCCAAAATGGCGTGGGACAAGCCAGGGGCAGCTGGTGGTCACAACAAAGTGTAACTCAAATGACCCTCGGGGCTCTTTTTTGCCCGTTTTCCCGGGGAAAGGAGTCCGCCGCGACCTCCCCCCCGCTCCCCGTGCCCGTCGGGTCCCCTCGGGGACACCCCACCCCCTGGCCGGGATAAAAGGGCGGAAAAGCTGGTAAATACCTGCGAGGTTGAGGAGCAGGGACAGGGACACCCCGGCAGCCCCCTTCCCTCCCGAGGCTGCGGGAAAGGCTGCCCCGGGCCGCCTGAGCCCGCCCCGCACATTCTACCCATTCTATGGAGACAGCCAGGTGAAATTAATGAGGTTTTTTTCTCCAAAATGGCGTGGGACAAGCCAGGGGCAGCTGGTGGTCACAACAAAGTGTAACTCAAATGACCCTCGGGGCTCTTTTTTGCCCGTTTTCCCGGGGAAAGGAGTCCGCCGCGACCTCCCCCCCGCTCCCCGTAGCAGCCAGCCCGACCCACAGCAGAGAGAGCTGTTTTAGGTATTAACGGGGATCAGGCACACGTGGGTAATTCTGACACACTTAAACCAACTGAGGGAAGAGGCAGCCCAGCTCAACCCCCCCACACACCTCGAGGTGGGCCCTGGTTACCAACAGCCAAGTCATCCACACTCTGTTCAGGGTGTAAAACTCAAGCAGCTGTGATTTTCCTTGAATCAGGTCTGAACACCACACAGAAGGTGCCGGCCCTCAATTTACAGAGGAGAGGTAACAACGGTAACGGTCTCTCAGCAGGAGTCAACAGCCCCCACGCACACAGTCCCACCGGGTGCTCCTGAACCCACCCTGACCCCTCTCAGGTGCCCACCTCACATGAAGCCCACACACCGTACGTGACCTTTCTCTGCAAAGACAAAGACTCCACACTCGAGCACAGGCATCTCCGCTTTGCTGCCGTTCAGAGTGTAAAACTCAAGCAGCTGTGATTTTCCTCGAATCGGGTCTGAACACCACACAGACAGCCTAAAAACCTGCTCATAACCCCCCTCCTTCCTCCAACCAGCAGCATCTTGTGTTCAGCTGCCCTTGATTTCTCCCTCAGCTTGGATGCTGGCCTCACAGGACAGCCACTGGCTTCTTGCTCCTGTCCCACACCTCGAGGTGGGCCCTAGTTACCAACAGCCAAGTCATCCACACTCTGTTCAGAGTGTAAAACTCAAGCAGCTGTGATTTTCCTCGAATCGGGTCTGAACACCACACAGAAGGTGCCAGCCCTCTGCTGGCTTCAATTTACAGAGGACAGGTAGCTGCCCTTGATTTCTCCCTCAGCTTGGATGCTGGCCTCACAGGACAGCCACTGGCTTCTTGCTCCTGCTGCATGACACTGGTCTGGACCCAGAGCTGGAGACACAAGGTTCTGGATGCTTAACAAACAAAGCCCCACCATTGAACTTCAAGCATTTCATTACCACGCTGGACATAAGAACCACTATTTCCTTTTGGCAATTACTCTCCTTTACTCCCCAATTCTGTACTGCTGTCTGGAGTTACAACAAAAGACCAGGTCTCTTGATTTGCTGCATTTTTACTTATTTACAGGTATGAAATTCAACAAGTGTCGCACATTTTATCTTACATATTCACACAACCAGGTACACCTCAAAAGGAAAGAGGCAGGCTGCCCTCAGGCACAGCAGATGCAAACGGCACCCATCATTTCCAGTGATGGTAAGCTGCCACCATCACACCTTGTGCTGAATCTAACTGCCCTTGAAAGCCATGCTCCCTCCTCTACCTTTGCTCTAAACGAAGTTTTGGCAATCAAGGACTGCAGCTACTTGAAACCACACTGAAGTCAGGTGATAGACATTGGCAAGCCAAGAGCTCAGATTCTTTTTCCAAAGGCTTAATCGAATTCTGTTGAATATCAACAGCAATATTGACCAGGTCCTCTTGGAGCCTCAAGACGAATCCAACAGAGAGGCTCTTTTCCACTCATCCTTCACCTCTACTTCCTTGCCACAAGGTAAAGCTTCTAGCTGTCTCCCTGGGAGATACCACCCTACCTCAGGGAGCACTGGCATGCATCTTTTCTAGACAGTCACTCCAGAAGGAGACAAGCCGGCTGTCTTTGTTCCAGCAGAAGTCTGTAAAGTCTTTCAGCAACCGATCAGCAAACTTCTCATCCCCGGTGGCGCTGGAGCGCCACGTTTTTGTCAGCATGGTGTTGTAGGCCCAGTTGTAGCCAATGCGCTCCTCACAAAACATGTTCTGGTTGGTGGAGCTGGTGGAGTTGCGCCGGCGTCGCTGCTGCCCACAAGAAAACTTCCGCTTGGAATATGGGAGCTGCAAAAACACCGTCCCTGGAGGAAACAGACAGGACTTCAGCTTTGGCAGAGCCAAGTCCCTACAACTGGTAGCTGACTCATTAAATTCTGAAAAGGAGACTGGACCGAGTTTCATTTAATTGCCTTTTAGCAAGATAAAATTTTTCCTCCATTTTTACATGCAAATAACAACACTGGGAGAGAGCACACTCAGTCTCGCCTTTCTCTTGGTAGAAGGGAATGAAGCAAAAACGTAGGCTCTGAGCCATCTCTCTAACTTCACATCAATTTCCATTCTCTTCTGCAATTTTCCAAAAGCTTTCTTCCTGTCATTGTCTTCATGCCTCAGCAATCCCTCTGAACTGTAATATGCCATGCATGGAGCTTAGTTAGAAGTGCTGATAAATCACCAACGTTTATGGGAAATAATAATGAGAGCAAGTGGATCCTAAATGCTTTACCTCCTACACAGTATGTGCAGGTGGAGATGCATCTACAACTGACCTTAAGCATGAGAACAGAGCACTGACTTGTCCCAACACTTCTCCTTCCTTCTAGTTTCTAGATACACATTTATTAACACTGCACTTGGAATAAGCTCTGCCTTATTTTATTGTATTTCTCCATCTCCTGGAAAGAAAAGTTTCAGAGGGGCAATAAACCAAGACTTCAAACCAACGCCATTGATTAGCAGCAACACCTCCTGCATTTCCTACTGCCTCTCCAGTTTTCTGGTTTGTCTTGGCTGATACAGCTACTTGTCATCTCACTAAGGGACATAATGAGGACCAACACCACTGACACAAAACACAAATAGCATGTAAAAAGATTATTTTCTTTACAGTAGCCGCCTCCTTGCCCCAGTGCCTGCCAAATGTTGCTCACCTGTGACATGGATATACTGGGGCTTATTCTCAGCTGGGAAGTTGAATGCTGAGGCCGAGTATTTGTCTTGCACAAATCCAAATCTGAAGAAACAAACACCAGGGAAATTAAAAAAAAACAAAAACCAAACCAACACAAAACCAAAAAACAACACCAAAAACCGTAAGAGCCACTCCAGCCAGGATTCCTTCAGCCCAAGGCAGGAGCACCAGGGAAAACCTTGCACTATCACAAAGGCTCCCTTTTCTTATGGCCTGAAAGTAGGAGAAAAAGGGATGAAGAGAGATGAGCTTGTCCAAATATCCTCTGCCCCTGCTGGGCACAGTGTGAAAGTCTGTACCCTTGTAACTCCACACTCATCTGCCCTAACTCCTGACACAGAGAAGAGCACCAGCAGCTCCGTTTGGGAGGGCCTGAGCAGCCTCTGACCAAACAGGGCACCTGGACACGCACGAGGGAAGAGCAATAGTCAAGACAGACACTCCTTGTGTGTGTTTCAAGCTATAACAGCTTGCTTTTTTTTTTCCATGCTGGCCAATATCCCACACTGAACTTCAAGCAGCTCACCTGACACTTCTTTGCTGTTTGGAGAATACTTGTGCCTCTTCTGCTTTCTAAATTAACAAAAGCTTATTTCCAAGCTTAAGTCCATTACAAAAAGCAGTTCCTCTATCACGAAAAAAGAGTTTGGGGGCAGCACCATCATGAGACAAACTGGCAGCTCAAGCAGACAAAGGGCTAAGACTAGATTGAAGTATTCAAACTTTCCAACAATTCCTTCTTAAACTGGGCCCAACCTTCTATGTACAGCTCACACCCCAGTCCCCTGCCTGTTGTCAGTCATTGGTCGTCATCCAATTCAAGACTGTGTTAAGTACATGTGAAGGAAATAACTGTTCCTTCTCAGAGAGAAATCCATTTACAGTCCATCTGCTTCTGACATAGAGTAACAGGGCACCTTCCAAAGGTAATGCCCTTGCAGGAGGAGAGTATGGTTTGCTAAGGAGTGACAGGCTATCTACCTGCCCCTTGCACCCACAGAACCGCCCCTGGGCACTCTAGTTGTATTTTAGTCTGATAATCTGCAATCAGAGCTCAGGGAGGCAGATGGCACAGAGCCCCCATGACTCGGGGTGACTGTTCAGCACAAGTCTTCATCCTACATTGTCCAGGGAGACAGGAACCTTCTGGTCATTCTGCTCTGCACACACCTGTATGCTATTGCTTCCTGGAGGAGATGCATACGGTCCCAGTATGTCTCTGGTTCAAAGCCTGAAACAAACAAAAATGTACCAATTACCTAGTGAAGCCACTTTATTTCCTTCTTTTTCAAGACTTCGGTTTTCCTCAGAAGACCTCTATGCACTTTGTTTTTTCTAGTGATTTCTTTTAGTCACACTTTTTTCTGTCAGCTGTCCCTTAAATGCCATCTTATTAGAGATGCGTCTTGTACACTCCAATAGCAGATTCATCCCCAAATTTAGCTTTTGTGTCTCTCAAGATGAAGGAGAGGAACATAATGGGGTGCGTGGGAGGGGGCAAGGAAGGAGAGTGGGCTACTGTGTATCACCAGAGTGCTCTGAAAACACTTAGTTCAAAGTCAGCGGAGCTACAGTGGATTTGTCACTAATTGTTTTACATTTACACCTGGACACTGGGTCAAGGGTTAATGAAAATAAAGAAAACTATCATCTTTACTATTTTAAAACAGGCCCTTTTGCTAAAAACTGCTTCTCACGATGCAGTTTTGCCCCTCTCTGCACAGGGACAGAGTTCTCTGATCTTTGAGCTTCCACCTGAGACTTACCACCACAGCGGCACTCGAAAGGGCGAGGTCACACTGCAGAAAAGGAGATTGCAGTTTCTAGCTCTTAATCTCATGTGCAAACACTCTTACCGTGAATGTAACCATGGCAACCAAAAAGAGGATGGCAGTCGTGAAAGCCTAATCTCACTGAGGAGGAGAATAAACAAATGCAGGATACTAATGCAGAGCAGCTGTGGGCAGGGTCTACCAGCAAAACAGACTCTTCCAGTAGAACATCATGTCAAACAGAATAACTCCTGATACAGGCTCTATAACGGTACACAACATCATG